GGCGCCGGGCGAGCAAACTTTGCACCCGAGCCCCCTCACTCTTTCCACACGGAACCCGAGCCGGCGCGGCCACGCCTCCCAGCCCGCGCCCCATTGGCCGCCGCCCCTCCGCTCGGCGCGGCCCGCCCGCCCCCGCCCCCCGCCTCGTCCACCATTGGCCGGCGCGCCCTCGCGACAGCCGGCCCCTCCCCGGCGGGACCGCCCATCGCCGGGCCGGCGGGCGGTGCTCGGCGTGACGTCCCGCGAGCGGCGGCTCCGATTGGCGAAGCCTGTCGGCTTCTGCCCCGCGGTCCCGCCCCGCGGCGAGCGGGACTCGTGCAAAAGGTGCGCTTCTTCACACGGCCCGGCCGGCGCGCGCCCGGGGGGCGGAGCTCCCCCTGCGGGCCGGGCGGGTTCGCGCGGGGCTTGGGGGGGGTCGTGACGGCTTCCTGACGTCACGCGTGGCCGTTTGGGCCGGGAGCAGCTGTGTGAGAGAGGAGGGCTGCGCTGTGCTGCGCTGCGGGTAACGGGTGTGGCGATGGGCACCGCCCTGCAGGCGCTGCTTGGGCGCAGGGGAGCTCCCTCCGTAATTTTCCTCCCGTTTCTGAAAGCGTTAGGACGGGCCGTGAGGAAATAATGTGAGTGATGAGCTGTAGCTGCAACTATCAGAGTTATGTGGTTTGTAGTTACGGAATACATAGTCGCGTGTATCATCATTTCTAGTTAGTTATATAACTTCTGATCATTAATAGTTTAAATGTTCAGTCAGAAGAAGGAAGTAATTGTGCCTGAGGAGGTTTTGGAAAACACAAACGTTCGAACGCCTATAAATCAGTCTACGGATGCTAATCATTCCGTTGAATTTGTGGTCAAGGAAAGAAAAAAGAGAACCTCTTTGGAGACTTCTGGAAAAATGTCAAAAATGTAATCACAGAAATTACCAAATGGCAGAGCTGACTCCTTCCTTTATGTTCCGGGAGGGCCAGCAAGGAGCAGCGTCCAGGAACATTCCTTGCACGGGTGGAAAATGAAGAGCACGGAGACAAGTGGCCATCGCTGCTTGTAATATGGAGGCATGGCTTTGTGCATGCAGTGCACGCAGGCAGTGTGAAATCCGGTGCTCGGGAAAGAAGATGTAGCAGGAATACAAGAGCCCATTGCTACGCATGGAAGTTCCAAAGGGATCTTGATCAGGGGGTTGTGCAGTGGTCTTTGACAGCTGGAGTAGACTCAGCAACATTCCAGCAAGTCCATGTGCTCCTACCATGTTGCTCTGATCTTTGCGTGCCACTGGCTCTTCTTCACTTGCTCTACAGTGTCGTGTTCTTTACATTATGGACAGAGCATAGGGCGTGACAAGCACTCCTGTACTGACCTGTGACCCTGAATCCTACTGAGATTGTTCTTACCAAAATCTAGGTCTGCTCTGTTTTTAATTTAGCTTAGGAAACCATATGGAATGTTTTAATGACTACCAGTACTTCACAAGTGCTGCAAGGGAGTCAGCAATCAGATTGCTGTAACGTTTTCCTCATCTACTTGGCTTCCCTTGTGCCATAGTATCATTTAATAAGGTGGTGTAAGTAATCGGGAAGCTGACCATCAATTACACAATTACAGTGGAACATGCTCATGTCCTCTGCTCCTCATCCCCACACATGGTCATTTAGTTAATGATGAAGACTTACCAAATGTAGGATGTGTCGGTCAAATAAACTGGCACAACTTAAACCTCCTTTACTTCATTGGGGTTAAATTTTCATAGGGATTGGTGTTAATCCATTGGAATTTGTGTAGTTAGGAGAAGCAAGGAGTTTAATGTCCCTTACTTACTAGGCTTGAGGAATGACTGAAACCAAGTCTTAGTTGGTTTCCCTCAGCTGTCATCGTAGTTTTCTTGATGACTGGAGATACTGGGTCTCTGCTCCTCCATGAAACCAGCAGGAAATCAATATCAGCACCATCCTTACCAATAAAACTTGACTGATCTCAAACATGAACTGTATAAAGACCTTTGTTGGCATTTTTAGTATGTGAATGATGCCTAGATGAATTTCCGAACCCTTTAATATTTCTTCATCATGAGGCCTCCTTATCTGCTCAAAAATCCCATGCAACTGGCCAGTCTTCTGCTGTTTTGCCCTTATGGGACAACATGTTCTAGTCCTGCCCTTGTCCAGGGGTAGCTTTTCTTCCTACTGTACCTGGCTGAATACTGAATTCCTCCTGGGGCAAAAATCCACAACATAGGGACCGTGTACTTCAGGAAACAGGAAGGATACAGTTATTTGCCAGGAAAGAATAATGGTTACTCTAACCTTCCAGTGCTCCCCATCGAATAGGGCTGGGCATCTAGATTTGCTCTAGGGGATCCAGCAGCCACTGTTATCTTCATTCACTTGACATGCAGGGACTTGGATTAAGAGTCCTAGTGATAGCCTGGTCCTGCTGCTGGACGTGGTGAACACAGATACCACCTCTGCCCCAGAATCTTTCTTATAAACCAGTAAGTCCTACACAGCCTTTTCCAGGCTTTTCTATTGTTTTACCATGCATCAGCATCCACAAGGAAAAGGGATTGTTCCTAAATTTAGGACTGTCCATGTGGCAACATTATAAATTTTAAGATTAATAGGAAGGTGACTGATGAAGGTACCTAATCAAATCTTAAGAGTGCTTGCAAGAGAACATTTTGTTCCTTCTCAAGTGTTTGAGGAAAATACTTTATCTTCAAAGTAGGGAGGACTGGGTTTTTTTATTTTGTTTTGCTTTGTGGATATATTTTTTTTAGGCTTCCAGGCATTGTGACTAACCCAATTCTCCTCTAGGCTCTGTTTCCGTTCCACACGTGTGGAATGAACAGTTTCCAAGTCTGCTTACTCACTGAAAATGCTCCATGTTTTGAGGGGAGGAACGACTCTGAATCTCCAGTGAGCAGCTTCATACCACTTCAGATCAGGGTTACGAGAAAGGAAAAAGCAAGACAGCTGCTTCGTGTTGCCTGTTCTGAGGCAAAATTTTCTGTACTGTGTGCTACTGAACTCACAGTCTGCTGAGCACTGTGGGAAGAATAGGACTTTGGTTGGGAGATATGTTACTCAGCATGTTTGCTGAGTAAATAAAGTCGTTGCCTTTTCCTTTGAATCTGTGCAAATTTTGCATGTGGAGAGAGGTCAGCCACAAAGGGCTCTTCACTAAATGCCTTTCCACTTGGAAAAGATGAAGCCTTGTCTATGGTCTTCTAATGCAGTCACATATCACAGAGCGTGCTGCCTCCTTTTAACACCTAACTTGTTCCCTTTCTGCACAGTCATCAGACCTGTCTGTGTTTAATAAAGGCTTGTGGGACTCTGACAAACATGACTCCATCTGTCTGTTCCACTTCAAGGCTGTCAGTGTTCATTTTAGGCTGTGTTTCTTGCAGGCAATGTCTTTCTGTTAGCTGTCCTTGCAAGGTTTCTTCAAATTAGATCCAGTCAGCAGCACCAAGAGAGCAAAAACATTCACTGTTTACCTATATTAAGAAGTCTATTCTCTGTAATGAGAAACAATACAAAAGAAAAGTATTACTGTTCATGTAGCCCTGTGTCAAATTCATGTTGATTCAGGAAATCAGCATTATCAAGAAAAGGGCTTAAACACATCTTTGCAGTTCATTACAAGGCCTTCTTTGCGTAAAAGCAAGTTAAACATGTGCTTAAATGCTTTCACCTGTGGCCTGTGAAGAAAGACTGTAGCTGTAATGGGAGACAAAGAGAATCTTGCTCTATAAAGAGATTTGTTTTTCCACTTGCTTACTGTATTAGTAAAACCTGGCAGAACTCCAGACAAATTAAATAGGTCAGGATATTGTTGTCTATACTTGTGAACCTTAAAAAGCAGATGAAAAAGTGAAAAAATTTCTGATTTTTTTCTCCCTACTAAAGAAGTGAATTTTAAATGATGACAATCTAATGTCCAGTTTTGATCTTTCCTTTGTAGGTCATTTGTTTTGCTTTCTCACTGTCAGTCCATTATTTGATCTAGTAGCACTTGGCAGCTTGCAATTGCTTCATAAGGTCTGCCACAATTAACTGCACAGCTAATCTCTAACTTTTTAATGAACATGCATTTTTTGTTTTGTGGAGTTGGTGAGCATTTCCTGGCAGTTTTGGTTACCACTTGCTCTTCTTAGGATACAATCTGTATTCTCTTATAATTCACAGGTGGGCAGGCAAAACTGTTGTTCTAATCAACTGTAAAGTTAACAGACTTCGTGGGTTTAGAGCTAATAATTTATTCAACCAGCGTTCAAATTGATCCTACTAGAAAATTTATCAGCATATTAATCGTTAAAGGAAAAAAAAAAGAATCAGGAATAAGTGTGGTGTTATTTACTGTTCCAGACCAAGGCAGCTCCGTGGTGGAAAGATGTGTTATAATGATTCAACAGGGATAGGAAAATTCTGTAGGTATGGAATATTATGGAATGAAAAAAATGTCTTTACAGCTGATAGGTCAGTGACATTTCTTATTATTACTGAAATCAACTATCCTTCATGGTATTTTTAATAGAACATATTGTTAAAGTCTGCCTTTCATTATCTTTAGAAAGAACATGAGATCTCTACCTATAATCTAAGCATGATCTGAATCTCTATATTCTTTGTTAATAATATCAAAGGATTACTACTACAAAGGGTTACAAGAATACTAGTATTCTTGTTTAAAATGTCTGTGCACATTCTATTCTCATAAGTAATCAGAGGCCAGGTGTGGATGGCTTTTCATTGTTCTGAACAATTGTGAGACAAGCGAGCACCTCTTTACATGCACTGACCATCAGTTTCAAAACAGACCCTCTTGGATCTGCAGTCAATGCACCCTGAATTGGGTAGTTAAAATTTGGAGCTTCCTGTCACCCTTAAGTTTAGGTTCACAAGGTGTTGGGCAGCTGATGTTCTCCCAGGACAGCTGGCACGTAGACATGATGTGTATTGGAAATAAAATCACAGTTCTAGGTGTCTGATTCTGGAATGTGTCTAACCTAAAAATCAGGTTTTGGAAATTTCATTCTATGGCCCTATTTGTTCTGTTTAGGATATCACTTTGGGTTTGTTTGTTTGTTTGTCTGTTTGTCTGTCTGTTTGTTTGTTAGTAGGTGCAGGTTTTTCTCTCCCTCTCTACGTTTGTTCTTTGGGGCCCAAGTGATAGGGGGAGGTGGAGGCTGATCAAATACATCGGGTAGTAACTCCGGCATTTATACACTACCCTCCTTAAGAGCCTACTTCTGGGGCATTTCTTTTGTCAGCAACACAAGTGAAGCCAGGTGGCTTTGAACTCCAATGGTTGTTTACTGTGCTGGGTCTAGAAGCCTTCAGGCTGAGTCAGTGGGCTACTGAAGACAGACTGAGGATGTGAGCTGATTGCTGATGATGCTTCCAGCAGCTGCTTGTCCAGCCTACCTGTGAAATCAGTCTGATAACATGCTATATTTCCTCACATTGAAATGGATTATTTGGACGCAGAGGTTATCACTAACACTATAGGATCCTGGGTTTCTTTGATGTGGATTTCTAAAGGTTGCTCACAGGAATAGAGATGGGCAGGTCCCTCCAGATAAGCCTCTAGAGGTCCCTATAAGAGCAGTGAATACTGTAGGGAAATCATAAATGTGTATGTTCTGGCATTTAAAAAGTTAGCTCAAAACAAGAACAGTT